AGTCATTCTAGTTACAGCCGCCGAGACAATGGGGACGCAGCAATACCTCCAACACAGTATGGTCTATTTCGACGCGGGCGTTGAAGTCGGCAAGGCTAACCCATTTTCCCATCTTTGACACAGAAGCCAGAAGGGCGTGCAGGTCCATGTAGAAGATGTTCTTCGCCTGATCAGAGTTCGTGATTGGGTGTAGGGGGAGGGGCATAGGTACAGATGATGGTGGCGAATGTGGGTCCCGAAAAAGCAAGCCTAAGGTGAGCAATCGGTCGTCCATGTCCTGCGGCAGACAAAGCAGTCTTCTTACCATGTTATTCCGAATGGCGAAGGTAACGTCATCGTCACGTTGCCCTGCCTTTGGGAAGCCGCTTCAGAAGAAGATAAGGTCGGCATCCATCTCATCCAGTTGATTCTGGTCAGAGAATCGGGTCTCGCTGAGAGCAATCATGTTCACCTTGTACTAACTAGGTTCTCCAGCGATTAGCGCCGTTTTCCGTTCCGGTTGGTTGCTCTTCTGATTGCCCAAAATTGAACTGATATTCCAGGCTGCCAATGTAAGCGGATTCATCCGAGTAGCCCGGAGGGTACGGCGTGGATATAGGGGTTGCTGTTTGTTTTGTTGTTTTGACCGTGAATTTTGCAGCCTGCAAACTACGGTCTGCTACAGAATACGCGAGGCCCACAGTTTGTTAAAGGGGACTTTTTCCAACTCTCCGTCTGCAAATAGGTGGGCAGTGCTACCAATAAATAGGGCTGCTTACAAATCCCAGACGGCTGCCGAACTTCATAATGGGTCATGGATTAGTTTTTTGTTCGAGAACGGCTCGAGTTAGACTGGGTCGCCTATGGGGCTGCCTGTCGCCCTCCCCCTATGACTTTTGAAATGGGGGGATGGGACTGTCGGTTGTGGGCACACAACTACGGATACCCTCACTTGGTTAAGTCCACCGGTTGAGGTGGTTACTGGGGTGCGTCCGGTAGACAGCACCTGGCTTTGAGGAGACACAGGTGAGAGTTGGGTGTCAGTTAACGGCCGACACAGAAGCCTTCATCAACTACACAAGACAAATGGACCGACTTAGCGCTATCTGCATTGTGCCCCACCCCCTCCCCCCATAAATCGCACCTCATACACCCCACAGTTGCAAGAACACGTAAAGGGACTTGCAGTTTTCTGGTGATTATTATGGGGGATCGGAATGGCCGGAATGACCAGAAAACTACCGAAGTAGCCACCTTACTGGCTGCGTTGGGTTTGGATCTAGGTGCGAGAGCATTCAATTATATCGGCCAAAACTGACTGGTCCTCATCCAGACGTCTATAATACCACCATAAGCGTCTGCTAGCCTAGTATTCAGGCGGTCAACGGATGGTCAGTAAGATTGATTACATTCTTGTCATGTCCACGGGGACGTTATTACAGTGTATCAATACAAGGCGCCGGGAATGGCAAAGCCCGGCTGTAAGTTCCTGAATGTTCAGCTTCTATCTGCACTCAAGTTGTCACGTGCAATGTTTTGGGCTCGTAAAATTACGACAGCTGAGACGTTGAGCATAGACACCCTGTCTGGTTCTAATTATTGACTTGAACATGAAGTTGGCTGAGGTAGTGCTGCGAGTTTGCTGAGAAAAGTCGTATGTTCTCTCAACGGCCTCGCAGTGACTTGGATAGTGATCCACTTTTAGTTCATCCGAACGGCTTGAACTGCATTTCACAATGGTAGTTCCCCCAACAAACTCCCGAAAATGATGGCAAGGACAGCCAGAAATAAACACAACGATATTGGCCTCAAACAGGTAACACATGTCGGTAACATTTGAAGACCAAAATATTCGGCAAGTTAGTGATAAGCTATCTGTACAGGGTTACTGTCCGTCACCGTAACGGCGTTTTCTCTCCATTACTTGAAAAGTGTAGTCTGACTTCTCTGGCAGAATTCATCGATGCCGTAGTAAGGCTTAGCAGCAAACAAGTTACCCGGATAGGACGGTATCCTCGCTGGAATCAACAAGTCTTGAATTAACGCTATGGCGTTCTGGCTCCACGAGGTGCCTGAACAAGTGCGAAGAGATGGGGCTCATTCTGGATAATGGGCTCAACCACCCCATTACCTGTTTTTGGCGAGGGGCTAAGCTGTATCGACGTTGCCGCGAAGATCATTGTCCTAGTCATTCTGAGACAATTTCTGCATGTGTGACTCAAACACGAGCCGGGTTCATGTCGAGCTTTTAGGTATAGGTGGAGAAACTGACCAGATCTTCACACTGCAAAGCACAATGGAGTCCCCGATACCCACCAGAAGTCGGCAACCATCCATTCGCTTCAGCGTTCGATTCGGTCCTTCCCGAGTTCCCGTGGTGAGTAATGAAAGTAGAGAGTTCAGGCAAAAATAATAATCTTGACCAAGACCTGTTCGTTTTTCAGCACTGCGCAAATTCACGTTCTCACCAATCCTTCTCAGTTGTTGAATGTTCGATTGGATGTCCAATGTGGTTGCATTCTGCTGCTTACTCCGTTCACCAAAGAAATTGAATGAGTTTTCGTAAGGACCCTACACGGTTAGGACAGTGTTTACATTTCATCTGCGCATCGGCGGACGTATAGTGGGCGTTAGCGTCGCTGCAGGAACCCGTGATCGTTGACACATCACGCCAAGGCTGCAGACGCGACTGACTGCCGGCACCCTGTACGTCTCT